CAAAATTGGAAAAATATGTTCAAAAGACTCAAGCAAGACCCACACCTCACTCCATACACAAAAACCAACTCAAGGTGGATCATGGACCTAGGACTAAAACCAAGAATTTTTGTTTTCTTGATGTTGACCTTTAATTTATATTGAAGACTACAGTCCTTGACCTGCTGCCGGAAATTTCAGGTCCTTCCCAGTTTCAGCAAGGAACATTGTGTTATCTGCATAACACAAGTTGTTAGTGAACTTCCTCTAATCCTGATATCACATTCCTCCTCAAAAAGTCCAGCCCCCCCCCATATGATCTGTTCCACATATAGTTTGGAGATAAGCTGCATCCCTGACTCATACCTTTCCTGATCCTGAACCATGCAGTGTTTCCTTGCTCTAATTACTGCTTCCTGGTCGAAGGTTTAGCATGAGCACAATTAAGTGTTCTGGGATTCCCATCTTTCTCAATGTTAGCCACAATTTGTTGTTATACACACAGGTTGTTGTTGTTATGTGACAGAGAGTCACCTGTGACTCATAGTGACCCTATGTACAAGAGCCCTAAACTCTGCCCTATCCTGTGCCAATCTCACCATCTCTGACACACCTACCCCCATTAGTCCAGTCACGGAATCAATCCATCTCATCGAGGGTCTTCCTCTCCTGAGCAGTCCCTCCACCCTCCCAAGAATTATGTCCCTCTCCAAGGACAGGTCTCTTCTTGCAACATGTCCAAAGTATATCAGACAAAGATTCAGAATCCTTGCCTGTAAGGAGCAGCCCAGCTTCACCCTCTCCGGGACAAATCTGTTTTCTTAGCAGTTCATGGTATATTCAATACTCTTCTCCAACATTACAGCTCAAAGGCATCAATTCTCCTTTTATCGTCCTTAGTCATTGTCCAGCTTTCTAATGCATAGCAAGTGATTGCAAAGACCATGGCATGTATCAGACACACTTTAGCCTCCAGAGTGACATCGTTGCACTTCAGCACTTTAGAGAGATCTCTAACCACAGACTTTCCCATTGCAATACATCTTTTAATTTTCTAGCTGCTGGTGCCAAGAGTGTTAACTCTGGATCCAAGCAAACCAAAACTGTGAACAATCTCAATCTCTTCACCATCCATTATGATGCTGC